TTTTYSWTTTTTTCAAAGGTAATAATACCATTAGAAATACTAGTACCCGTCAAAGATTCCTTGTTATGTGATCCAGAAAACCATTCCGKATTTTTTTTTATTTAGATTTTCCCGCGTCCATGCTGGAACCACGTGCCTCTATTCATTTCATTGGTTTGCTTGACATAACAAAGGGCGCTTAGCCGGTCGAAAGGGCTGGTTTGTTGTGGTAGTGTAGTACTAGTAGTACCTCAGATTTCAGTATCGCGTGTCCTCTTCGCGTGTCTTCGACCAAAATGGCTGAAAAAGACACAAATTCGCCTTCAAGTGGTGAAGAAGATGCTCCGGCTTCTAAGATACCTCTGAAACCACCAATTGAAGACCCTGAAGTATGCGTAGAAGGCAAAGTCGAGTTGAAAAAGCGAGTGACTTTGCTCTCCGGAATCTCCTTTATCGTTGGGACAGTGATCGGATCGGGAATATTCGTCTCTCCTACTGGAATCCTAGGAATGAGYAATTCAATTGGTTTGTCGTTRATAGTTTGGCTAGGATGTGGTATTTTAGCGATGCTCTCAAGTCTTTGCTACACAGAACTCGGTACCGCGGTACAGAAATCCGGAGCTGAATATGCCTACTTGAAAGAAGCTTTYGGYCCTATCCCTGCCTTTCTCTTCGCTTGGACTGGAATAATAATCAACAGACCAGCCATTTGTGCAATAGTATCTCTCATTTTTGCTGAATATGTGTCTAAACCTTTCTTCCCGACTTGTCAACCTCCAGAAGCCGTGGTGAAACTTCTTGGTCTGTCCTGTGTAGGTAAGAGCACATGCTTCAAAATCTTCAATGCTTCATCGAGCTTTTCCTTAATGAAATTGTTCTCAAACATCGTTAAGCTTACCTATCTAAAGAAAACTAACGTTAAAAGCATAAACATGGTTTTTCATTTGCCTTTTTTTGGTAAGCTTATGTTTTATGAGTAAAACTTTCAAAATAGGTTACACAGAAAAAAAAAACCCAGTACAGGATGTGTAATAGCATCGGGTATTGCATCAGAACTTTCCATTTTGGCGTTAATTAAAATGTCATTTTCTAAAGAAACTAATTAGGAACCGAACATAATTTTTCAATACTGCGATTTTCAAATTGTAAGGCTTTTTTGTACCAATAATTATTGCTTCCATGGTTATCCTCAATCTCCATAGCTATTATAGACGAAAAGAGTTATTTGTACACGTGTTTGGGTAACTGGCCGTGTAGAYTTTCGGTTATAAGTATTTTTTCACACAGAACTTTACATCGGTTGTGCCTCAAGCATCTATGGATATATATATATATATCTTACATTTAAAATAAGCTTATTACTTGAAAGACACGAACATATTAAGCTGTTGCTACAATACAGTAAATTTATTCAATTGATTGGGATACCAACTGTTTACATATTGCATGCTACTTTGAGAAACATATATTCAATGAATATGGCTACCTCATCATGAACAAATGACATTTGTGTACATACTTCACCATCACACGCCTAGCAATTTCAAAAGAACTTTAGTGTTTGGTCTATAGGGAGGGGTCAGAGGGCAGATAGAGTTTTTGATAAGTTCTAGGTTATCTTTCAGCAAGCAATAATAAGATAGGTGTCTGAYAGGAAATCATTTCATCAAAGTTTTTTGTTGTGATAATATATTTTGATTAGTGGCTTTTCACAACAAAATGCAAAATCATTTAAACAAAAAGAAAAAAAAATGATATGATTGAACTTTGTACTGAAGCAATGACCTCATTATTTATTCAGTGATTGTTGAAAGTCCACCATTGCTTTTTCATTAGACCTTACAATAAATAATAAAACTTATCATTTGAAATCACATTTTTTAATAATTCTTTTTTTTTCAATAGTTGTGGTAACTGGAATCAACTGCTGGAGTGTCCGTTGGGCCACAAGAGTCCAACGAATCTTTACATTTGCAAAATTACTATGTATTGGCATGYTAGTCATCATTGGTATCGTGGAGCTTGCAAAAGGTTTGTACAGTTTCTCTCTCAAAAATAAAAAAAATATGAACTCATTAGAAAAATCCCTGATTCAACTTGAAGTTCAGTTGTCTTGCACGGCAACATGATCAWATAACACTGGAACAATCCCAGCCTCACCAGGTACCAGTAGTCTRTCTCTGTAGAATCAGGTTTCTTTCACAGTCCCCTGCCTACTTGAAACAAAATAGGGGATTAAAGTGATAGCTGGCTTTTTTCCCACACCTGGGTAATCAATTATTCATGGAAGTGCCTGTAGGGCACGTACCTGTACTTAAAACTCACTAGAATACAAACACCAAAAACACACAAAAAATTTAGTAATTAAATAGTGTTATCTATTGTCTAATCTTCACTATATTGAACTATTTGTTGACCTATTTTGGTACTATTTTTAAGGCTGTCAATTTTTCATGATAATCTGGGAGTTTCAAGATTTTGAATCCTAATTCCTGGCTCAAGATTTCAACACTCAAGAWTTTTTGAGAGAATAGGAAAACTCTGCAAAACTCTCATGTTTTTAAAGTATATTTAACAAAAAAGGGACCTGATTTGTTCATGAATTGGCAAAGAAAAAAATGATGGTGTGCGATCATTTTCTTTTCAAACTCAAGATATGAAGTTACCTGGGGCTGACAGCCATGTAGTTTTCCACGCTTTTAGTATTGGAACTCCAGGCATCAACTTACGATGCAATAGATTCATAGGATAGGAACCTATGAAGGAAACTGCTTTAAAAGTAGTTCACAGCAAAGTATAATAATTGATTTTGAAAACTGCGATTTCATTAAATTTTTAGGAAAGACAGAAAACTTACAGAATGCATTTGAAGGCTCYCAAACTGATCCTGCTAAGATTGGTTTTGCCTTTTACATTGGTTTGTGGGCTTACGATGGATGGTAAATATATAATATGTGATTAGTGTTAMTATAGAGTACTCTTCCTAATGCTTTGCTCAATTTTTTTTTAGGAATACACTGAATTATTGTACAGAAGAAATGAAGAATCCTGCACGGTGAGCTACAACTATTACAACTATAGGGTTAATTGTTTTATTTTATTCTATTCTATTCATTTTATCTAGTTTTTCATTCAGCCATTCATCYATGCTTCTTTCCATAGTTTTATAGAGTCCGCTGTCCATTCAGGCATTCAAGCCATTTACTCATGAAACCATTTCTTTGCTCAGTAATTCGTTCTTTGATTATTGCTTTATTTGTCCCATTTGTCCAGTCATTTATTCATTCCTTTTTTTCTAATCATCTATTCATCAATCCATTCATCCATCCATTCCTTTTCCCATTTATTCCTTTGTCCACCAATTTCTTTGTTCATTTATCCATCCATTCCCCAATCTTTGTGCTCAATTAATGCATTTATTTATTCATATATTATATATATTAATGGCTTTTTTCTGTTTTGTTATGCTATAGAGACATGCCTCGTGCCATCGTGATAGGTGTCAGCATCATTACAATATGTTACTTGATCGTCAATGTGGCTTACATCACGGTTTTAGGAGGAACAGGCATCCTTGCATCAGAGGCAGTAGCTGTGGTAAGAATTGATACTCTAAAACATCTTTTTCACATCTTTTTGAAGATTGTAATGTCAGATTCAGGTCAAGGATTAACAGATCATCAACAGTCTGGCATGATGTCCCATGATTTATTTGACTGTTCAAAGTCAANTGAAGCGAAAACAACCGCGGACAAAGCCAATTTCGGGATTCCTGTGTGCCTGATCAATGTCTTCGTGATGACGTAGAGGGAGTAAGTCGTTCGAGAGACAACGATAGATACCTACAGTGAAATGACAGTAAAAATCAAATCTGAAACAAGAGAACTTGGAATTTGAACAGCTGTAAATACTACCTACATATATTGAAAGAAGTGACTTACCTGGGGCCGTAAATAACTTTTCCTGTTCCTCGATATTTATCTAGATCTATACGCAACACTTGTTTGTCCAGAATAATCTCTCAACACTTTGGCTCCATTTTTATAGCCAAGACATGAAATAACGTTCAAATCGTCAGAATAATCTCTAGTAGCATTAGATTTGCCGTTTCAGGCTGGATTATCCCACGTTCAGTCTTAGAAAACATAGATTTGTAATGAAATATGTGGAACTTGTACAGTAAACTTTGTATATACCGAAGGACGAGTTACTCCATCTACATCATCAACCCAGGCTCCCTCGCACTCGGCCAAAAATCATTTGGCCGAATTAAACGAGCATAAAAAATATAAAATTTGGAAATTCGAAATTTTTTTATGTGGATTTTTTTTTTATAACTCCTAAACTTTTTTTTCCAACTGTAAAAAAAATTAGGTGAGGTGGACTTTAACTTTCTGTTTAAATTTATATCATACATGTTTTTATCTACTATTATTATGATCTATTATAATGTATTATTGTTGTTTTATTTTCAACATATTTGTCAGGGACACTTCAGTTGGAGCCGGGCCACTCTGTTGTGTTTCCCTCCCCTCGTTATTTAGTATTTTAAATTCACAATGTATGTAATATTTTTTTGTCAATATATTTTTCAAGGTGAAAGTTAGTAAATAAATAAATAAATACCAAATTTAAAAAAAACTTCAAGACAATTTTATTCAAACTAAAAAWTTTCATCCGACTTAAAACTTTGACAAGCTATTTGCTTTGAGATTCAAACATTTTTCATGTGAAAAGTGAGAATTACTTTACAAGTTGTATTTACATGTTTTTGTTTGTTTTGCAGAGCATTAGTAATGCTTACCTTGGTCCAGTCAGCTGGATTATACCATTGTTTGTAGCGGCTTCAACCTTTGGAACTGTCAATGGAGTAGCCTTTACAAGTGGAAGGTATTTTATAACTTATTGTCTCGCAGTGGTCACATTATTGCCAGTTTTCAAAGAATTATTTTTTGAAATTAAAAAGACTGCTGGCCAAGTTAGAGTCACGAACAACAGATACTACTTGGAATTATTTGTTAAAAAGTGAACTTCATTATGTCAAGTGAAAACTAACATTGCTGATAGGTGTGTAAAGACTGAGAAATACGAGATACAAAAAATACACATCAAACTTGTCATGCAATGTTATTGTCTTGTTTTCCTCCCTGCCTGAGCTCTGGCAACTTGTCATGCAAAAACAAACAAGCCATGAAATAATGCAATTTTCTCAATAGGTTGACTTATGTTGCTGCAAGAGATGGTTTACTACCTTCACTTTTRGCCATGATTCAAGTAAAACGYTTAACGCCATTGCCATCTATGCTACTCACTGTAAGTGAATATGAGCGATTAGTGAAGTATTTACAAATTGAACTGTTATTTTCAAGAAATACAGATTTCTCTTATCTTTGCATAGTATTTAGGAAGGAAGCTCTGCTACAGAAAAATGATTGCTTTTGCGTATTATTATTTTGTTATAACTTAAAACCTTTTTCTTCATTACCAGAGCACYATTGCTATYTGTATGTTGCTCCCCCCTGGTTCSAACTTCATGAGCTTAGTTGGMTTCTTTAGCTTTGCTGCCTGGCTGTTTTATGGCGGCTCATTTGCAGCACTTTTGTGGCTGCGATACTCAAAACCTGACATGCCTCGCCCATATAGAGTAAGTCAATTTGTCATTATTATACTATCATGTCATTTCTTTTTGAGCTTTGTGTTGTGTCTGTAAGTACTGCTATCGACAGAATGAACAGGTCACACAACTTCAATAACCCTTCATTGCTAATGCAATTTTCAAGTTAGAAGTGTTGACTTGAGATACTATTTGCTATAATAATCAATTATTAATCATTATTAACRACCATTGTTTTTGTATGTTCAGGTGCCTATTTATATACCTATCTTTATGCTACTTGCCTCAATCTACCTGGTGATAGCCCCTATTGTAGACAAACCACTTGGSTCTCTCATTGCTCTGGCCATCATCCTGGCAGGTCTTCCTTTCTACTTCTTCTTTAAGTCAAAATATGTCCCTCAGTGGTTCAAGGACGCTGTTGGTAAGTTTGAAAAAACTCCCCTATTTTTGACAGAAACCTCACTCTCACTTTCAAGTGTCCGTTTATAACATTTCCGTTACATAATTAGCAAAGCACAAACCTCAATCAAAATCACTTACATTTATTAGTAGAGTGGCAATCAAATGCGCTGTATACAGATAGGCACAACCACTGTTATATAGCAGCAAAGCACTTCAGTACYAGCAGCACATCACTAGCCAAACCTAATGTTGTCAAGAAACACTATAGAAAGCTGGCCTTGATTTGTTGACGGGCTCCCTTTTTTTAGAGAAAGTTTTATTTTGTACAGCCATTTCCAACAAACACCATAAGTGGCTAGTTTGAGCAACAAATTGGAAAATGTGGAGTGAAAACATGCCAATCAAAGAATGTCTCAATAATTTCTAACTGGAGGCTCTCTCCCTTTTGCAAATATACAATACTAAGTAATGTTTACAACATGAGCGGCCGTGTTGTATGGGAAATTACAATCTCGAGCCGCAGGCGAGAGATTGTAATTCCCATACAACACGGACGCGAATGTTGTAAACGACTTATAAAACTCCAACACAAATTAACATGAATTACAGTGAGATAAATGACAAAAAATGGCAATTAAGGAAACTGCTGAGTTGAGTCGCTATTAAGCATGCGCAATTTACTGCAACACAGAACATTTTGAATAATTATCCATCCCACATGGAAAGCAAGCCATCTGTTGCATAAGCCAGTTCTGTTATCCGTCTTTGATTGCTTCAAAACCTAGTGAAGGTCTATGATGCGACACTAAAACTGAGACCTTTGCTAGTGTTGGGTTGTCTCAAGGTGACGACCGTGTTGTAAATCTTATACAACACTAGTGTTGTATCACAGTGTTGTATCTGATTTACAAGGTCAATCACCTGATGAAATGGACAACCCTTATTGGAGTAATAGCTCATGCATTATTAATAAGTTTTATAAGTTCTCTAAAAAGATTTTCAACTATAATGCAGACTAAAGTGTAAAGTGTTTACCAGTCATTCCAGGGAACTTTTGTAAAATGTCTAAAATATATCCTTTGCATCCTTAGATTCATTCACCTACGGATCTCAAAAGCTGTTTGACATTGCCCTCACTGAGCAATGCAATTGATACTGATTACCTGAGCCTGCAACCCAACGAGATCAGCAGTAATAAACACTACCTGATGGAACAACCCAAACAACAAAACACAAAAATATTATTTTGTACAATTCAGTACTTGGTACAAGAATTTATGTTTCATTTCTAACTTATTTCTTCAAGTTGACTTTGAAATCAACAAAGATTTAAAACTTTTAACAGGAAAGCTACTATATGGTAAATTGTTACCATGGTAAGTTGTTGCCATGGTGRCATTAGGTTTTTGAATTTTAACTTTAACTTATATGTCAACATATATATTTTAACTTATTTATCCTTCAAAGTCTTGTTTTTACATAAAGTAATAATGTATGTGTAAGGATCTAAACTAAACCTTTGAAAGACTAAAATAATGTGCTTTCTTTAAGCAATAACTTACCATTTCCAACAGTATGTTTTTTCTAGTTAATTTACTATTTACTAGGGAAGCAATGTAAGAAATTCTCCGTGTTTCCATTCTCTGTTAGAAACKTGCAGGATTGTTGGGAGAATGCAGGGAAAGGTTTTGAATCAAAAGATGTAAGCATGAATGGATACATGGAAAATATCTTCTAAAATAACAACTCTTTGCTTGAAAGTTGTGTTTCTGTGCYCTCTAAGAACYAAGCACATTTCAACCAATCAATGCGTGARCTATAAAATAGTTAATTYMTACATGTAATACATGTTCAATGTGTGTAAAGTCAAATGCTGCACCCTCGCAATGTTTATATAAAGATTTGATTACTATGCAATAGCACTGTGAGATCATGGTCAAAAAACATCACTGTCACTGAACAATGCCTAGAAAATGTTAAATTGAGCAACAACTAAGCAACACACACAGCACAGTCACATAGTAATAATTCAACCTTTACTATTAAGTTATCCACAGTGCTTCAACGGTGAAGTTAGTGATTCAAGTTTTATCCCTCATTTGTATTTGTTTGCTAAAAATGCTAATATTTTTAAAATATAATATAAAGTTATTTTGATAATGATTATTTGTAGATATAAAAAGTAGAAATGAATTGTGGTAATTATAAAATAATTTCATTCGAATGTTGTTTGTTGGTATGGTTTGTAATTGGGATTTTAAGGTTTTTCTTTGAATGGCTAGAATTTGGAATGAAATAGCAGTGTAGATTTAARCTGGAGTATAGTGTAGTACAGAGGACATATTATACTGCGATAAGATAAAATACACTAAGATATTTAGATAACTGGTTGAAAAGTTTTCACAAATATTCCTCATCAAAGTTCAAATTGTTTTATCTGCAAGATAAAAATTAATAYGACACCRAAAACATCTGAATATTTCTTGTCTTGTGTCAAAACCCACAATTTACTGAATCAGTCATGCACAAAGCAACCATAACTRCAAAACCTTGTTTCAAAATCTTAGCCATTCATAAGAGCAAATTACATTGTATTTAAATGTGTGTACAACTACTGTGTAGAAWCCACATAATTTATAGTTATACTGATGTCAGACAATCCCGTGTTTGTATTACTGTTTAGCGATAACTTAATATATTATCAATGAGTAGAATTCTTGTTCAAGGTAGACAAGTATTATTCAATTTTGTTGTAGATTTGGAGAGTATACTTGTGTATGCATGCATATTCACAAAACAACTKACAGGAGAATTAAATATCTTGTCAAATCCTTTTTGTTCATGTAAAACTGACCTATAAGAATAACATAATATAATAATAACAACCTAAGGTTATAATAAACCCTTTTAGCGATCTCTTTTACGCTGTGTTAGCCTCAAAACCATGTAATAAATTCTTTTATTCACAACAGCCCGTGCAAATGCAAGAGATCTGTGAGTATAGAAGACAATGGAAATAGTTTGAAATCTCACGAGTTTTATCTACATTTCTGAATATTTTAGCACACAATTGAGGCTTAACACAGCGTAAAAGAGATCGCGAAACTCGACTATTCCAGAGTATTTATTTCCATATGACCACATGGTCAAGTGCACATGTCATCAAGTACATGAGAGTTGCATGAAAATAAAGAACTCTTGAGGGAAAAATACAGAGTCTCTGAGTTTGTTTGGAATACAAATTAACTGTAACTTTGGTTAGAACATATCTTGAAGGTCATGATGTGGTTTTGTGCCTTCTGGTGTAGCTGAAGAAAGGTTTTTAATGTTSAGATATTTGTTGAATTCCATTGAAAATACATGTTTCTTTCATCTTTTTTTCATTATGTATGGCTTTCCTGATGTTTATGAAAAAAGCTATGTAYTCTTAAGAAAAACCCCTTTTTCTTTTGTGTAAAGAGTCCGGATAATACAGTCTGTTGTTTTGACTATTGTGGAATAAAAGGCAAATGATTAAACTAAGGAAACTGTTTTTCACAGTGTAAATCAAAACATTCTTGAACAAAGCTTGTTGCTTGGAGCAGTGTTCTTGGCGTACACCTAAACTTGTCCACCTTTGTTGCATCTGACTATATAAATAGTGTTATGACTAGTTAATAAAAATGATAGACTCCATCTAGCAGAGAGATTCTTGAATTAGTAGATACAATTATCYCCTTTGCTGTTCAACAATGAAGAGTGCAAACCCATTCCAAGAGCAGTATTACTAAATGTACTGTCTGACATAATCAGAAAATTACACTCTGATAACARGACATTGTCCAACAACACTCCTTCCAGCCCAGCACGCGATGGCTCTTTGTGCGAGATATGTTCAACCTGGATACCCAAGGTTATTACTTTGCTTGGGTACTTCTTTTTAGCATATTGCTTCACTTTGATGTTGTCTGTTGCAAGAAACCATCTCAGTGAAGACACATCTAATGAAGGAGCTAACTTTTTGAGAAGTTTTTCAAGTCTTTTTGCACAGTGAAAGTATTTTTCTACATGCACAAACACAGAAGAATCGGATTTGCTGCCTTTGAAAGAAAAATCTCCAGCCCTGAAGTGAATTCCAATGCGAAGGACTGGGGTTTTCCAGTTTAAATTTTGTCTTGCGTCCTGCAAGAGTTTTTCRAATCTTTGTGTTCTCTTGAATAAAAAATTATAAGCACAGCCAATGAAAGAATACTTATGGTTYCGTAATTTAGGTGCAACCTTTCTAGACTTTTCCCAAAATATATTATTTTTCCACATGGATGTTATAAAATACCACTGACTAGTAATCCTTTCTACTTGATGGGTGAAAAACTTCATGAAATTTGTYCTTTCAAACCATGCCAGAAAATTCTCATTTTTTGTGCCTTGAAATCGTACTGTATCAATSGGTAGATTCTTGTGAAACCCTTTTCCCCACATGTGATGTCTTGACGTCAATCCTTTCAGTTTTGCCTTGCTGTAGTCCCAGTTAATGTTCTTTGGCTGCATGTAATCCAAAATGGTGACATTACCCCTCCAGTCCARAAGAAAAGCTCTATTTGTAAGCACAGCCAATAGGAAAATTGCAGATATTGCACCCATTCTGTTGCCATAGCCACCACACCCATAACCAATGCCDCCGCAATCGAATACCAAATAACTAGGAGGTYGTTTTGACTGAAGGATTTCTTTGTGAAGATTGATGTATTTGTCTTCCCAGGTATGAGAGCATGAATATGTTGTACGGAATTTCTTCCCTTTAAGTGCAGGTTTTAAGAACTTTTTTATCTTTCTTATTAGATTTGAGTGTTTTGTTATTTTCTTTTTGGCACTGCCTGAAAAGTAGAAAGAAAAAATAAATAAACTGGCAAATTAATTTCCAAAAAATTACAGAATCCCATGCTGTTCGTACTTGATTCCTAGCCTGTTGCTTTGCTTAAAAGTGAAAATTCATGCACAGACACAATCTAAAAATGCAATTTTAGAGGTATGGATTTTCTAGTCTCTCAAAAAGTAACTAACCTTGTAATCCATAAATCTGGCTTTTCAACACAAAGGCGACTACAAAGCCCACCACAAGGACAAGGAAAACAAACAAGGCCCTGATATTTGCCATGTCTCTTGAAGGAAAACGAAATCAAAACCTCATCTACTGCAACAACAACAACAAARAAACAATTTCATAATTCCAAGTTTTATAGCCAAAATATTTGCCAAATACCACAATCAAAGTAAGTGAACAAAATAAATAAATAAATATCGGCTCATGTGGTATAAATCTTCCCATTCCCATTTCTTCATTTATTATTTTTCCTGTTTTCAATCCCACTAGCTGTGTGAGAATATATTGTTTTCTAACTACGAATAAATACTCAAATCACAGTGCTCATTCCTCTCTTTTGTAAACCTCATTTACACACAAAWCTCTTAACTTAATATTAATTCACACCCAACGTGTAGAAGGCCGATTTATTCAATTTTTGTTCTATCTCATTGACTCTTTCGCGCGTTTCCGGTGTAGTGAAGGAGTCTAGTTCTTTGATTGTAGACCTAGAACTGCGTATGTAATTAATACGCAATTGCTGGMAATACTTCGCGATTATAAACAACACACACACACTGTACTCTCGAAAATTGAAAATCAGCTGTCCACTCCATCCATTTATCACCGGCATGCCGACAGTCATTGTCTGCACGAAATCTCAGAGGAAAAGACAATTAGATTTTAAGCTCAAACAACAACAATTTAGCATTACTTTACTTTGACTTGACGTGGTATCAAGTAAAGAATCTAGACAGAAATGCGGCCAACTATGAAGRGAACAAGATCAAACAATTCAAGAGCAAATCACTCCACAAAGCTCCAKCCAATGTTAACTTAATATGTTGTTTATTTTCATGATCGAGCTTTGATAAACTATCTTCAAAGACACAGTAGAAAACCATACTYACCAATGAATCATTGCCACAAAGATGTGAACCGCCTTTGGTGTATTTATCGATAAAACGACCTCAATGGTCACTCATGGGTTGATTGAAATCCGCTGCATCGCACTCCAAGTGCTTCCTGTACTAATAACACCAAAGAAGAGGTCTGGGCACTACTTCCTAAATCACTAATTTCTTTTCTCTTTAAAGGCTTTTTTTTTCTTGAATCTATTTTTTCATACWATAAATGTAAGTACAGATATATTGATATAGTATTTGTCACTCCTTTCAAGCTTGTCCAAGATGTGCTAGATCGTGCTAGATGACCTCCTATCAGTGAAAAAGTGCCTCTGCGCATACCACACGCAAAAAATGTTATTCTTGTCGGCATCTTAAAACTCAAAATATTTGTACAGACATTAAAATCTGATCGAAAAGTGGACCTGTTAAAAGATRAAAGCGATAATTATGTCTTGCGCTTACAGGTCACGCAACTTTTAGTTCTCTTTGTTTTTTTTCTAGTCAAAATACTTTTAAACTGAGACGCGCTGCACGTGCAAGTGTCAGTAGCAWAAGAAAGAGAAAATAGTGACAACCGCATAACAGAAAACAAAACAAACAATCAAACAATGCAAACTAAACGAAAGGAAAGGAAACGATGCGCGCTAAGCTAAGATCAAGGCMGTTCTTGTGAAATGCCGCATCGTGCGTTAACCAATCATATTTTGCGCTTTTCATGGAAAAACAAAATCAAACGAAAAATTGCGAATAAAAAACGTGCACAATTTATGCTCAAAGAGAAATCCAAACGATAATATTCCTCTATTATTTGTTTTATTTATAGATTCTCAATAAATTAACACAATTTCAAGACAAATGCACACATATGAAATGAYAAACCAAAATTATAGTCTGGGAGTTGACTATGACAATCTTGTTTTTTACAAAGTGAGAGCTGGGTGGATAAGTGAAAATAAATCAGTTGTGCAAGGCTAGATCTATACTTTAAGTGGCAAAGATAATTTCTTGTGTCGATATTCTTGTGAATCAGTAGCGACAATGGTCACCCACATTATTCAATATAGAAGAATGAAATCCCATCCCAAGGGCKACATTACTAAACGTACTGTTTGACAGAACTAAAATGTCACATTCAGACAGCAAAACATTGTCTAGTAACACTCCTTCCAGCCCAGCTCTTGAMGGCTCTTTAATGCTGGAAATATGTTCAACTTGAATTCCCAATGATATCACTTTTTTGGGGTACTTCTTCTGAGCATATTGCTTCACTTCAATGTTATCGGTTGCGAGAAACCACCTCATCGAAGATATATCTAATGAAGGAGAGAAGTTGTTGAGGATTTTTTCTAGTCTCTTTGCACAGTCAAAGTATTTCTCTAGCCGTACAAATACAGAAGAATCAGATTTTATATCTTTAAAGGAAAAATCTCCTGCTCTGAAGTGAATTCCAATACGAGGGACACTGTTTTCCCATTTTAAACTGTGTCTTGCATCCTGCAAGAGTTTTTCAAATCTTGGTGTTCTTTTGAATAAGAAATCATATGCGCAGCCAATGAAAGAATACTTATGACCACGAAGCTTTAGYGCAATTCTTCTAGACTTTTTCCAAAGGAAGTTATTCTTCCATATTCCTGAGATGAAATACCATTGACTAGTAACCAATTCTACTTGATGTGTGAAAAACTTTACAAAATTAGTTCTTTTGAACCAGGAGAGAAATTCTCCTTTTGTGTTTCCTTTGAAGAGCAAAGTGTCATCAGAAAGTTTTCTTTCAAATCCTTTTCCCCACAAATGCCGTCCTTTAGTCAAACCTTTCAGTTTAGCCTTACTGAAGTCCCAGTCAATGTTCTTTGGCTGCAAATAGTCCAAAATTGAAATGTTACTCTTCCAATTGATAAGAAAAGCTTTATTAGTAAGAACTGCCAATAGGAAAATAGTGGATATTGCTCCAATTCTGTTGCCATAGCCACCGCAGCCATGGTTGATGCCACCACAGTTGAAAACCAAATAATTTGGTGATTGTTTTGATCGGAGGATAGATTTATGAAGTTTGATGTATTTGTCTTGCCAACTACGACTGCATATTTCAGTTCGATGYAATTTCCTCCCYTCTGCAAGTGACTGCGAGAAGCGCTTTAGTTCTCTCATGAGACCAGGGTGTTTTGTGAGGGCCTCTACCTTTTTGGAATGTGCTTTAAAAAGAATGATAAAGAAAAGTCAATAAACAAACTTTCGGAATTTGGATTGCAATTTGCCATTAAGCAATAAATTGGCAACTTCCCAGGAGATCTCCATATTACAAGAAATATAATAATCCACGTGATTTCTTCAATTTGGAAAGCATAACCCAAGAATTCCCCCTCTAAATTATCTAACCTTGTAAACCACTGCTCTCTTGGTTTCTCAACAACAAAACAGCTAGCGATCCAACCACAAGTAGAACTAGATAACATAATGATCTCTTTTTTGTCATACGCATGTGTAGCCTGAGGAATAATTAAGAATTTATAATTACGAAAAGYGCATATTAATACATWAACACGTTTGCCCATTCCAGATCACAACCCCAAAACATTAAGTGAAACAGAGTGAATACACTCAGCAATACTGTCACTATGAAACTCTACACAAGTGAAAGATTGGAAAGATGTTTGATAGGGGGGCTATGAGAGGGGGAATTAGACAGGAAGGGGGAAATACTGCCCCTAAAAGATACCATCCCAATTCCTCTTAGTATTCCTAATAGTTTTACAATCAGGTCTTTCTTTTAAGGTATTATATCAAAATTGAAATACTATTGTCTAGAATTTGTCAACCGCATCTATACTTTGCAATCGGTCTGTTATCGCCCATGAGGCATCAAGAGATCTGATAAACTTTTATCAAAACTTATATCATTTAGGAATTTCGTTCATAAAGATTTTCAAAATGTATGGTTTTATAAATAGGGTCAGTGTTTAAAGGTTCTCCGGAACACCTCCATATGATTATAACTTAAGGCAATCGTCCTCAGCMCTGCGGGCCATCGCAATCTGTTGTCAATATAAAATGTTTCACTTCACGAACCACCTACATATTGTGGATTCTCAAAAATCACGTTTTCAGCTGTCTGGTTTATTTAAGGTCAGATGGTTCATCGATTTACGAGCAAAGAGGTGATAATTTACAAGCCAAAACATCAATAAATCGGAATTACTTCTCGTCCTCATCATCATCGGAAAGTACGTACTAAGGTTGAAATCCATTCACAACCTCATGTAAACATGACTCTTAATTGGTACATTTTGTTTGTTTTTGTGATCAATCAATGATAAAATAACTTCAAGAAAGCAGAAATGCAGTTTCTTACCTTTGAATCGTGATCACAAAGAAATCAGCGCATTTATTGTAACCTGAACCGCCTTATATTTCTCRATAAAGCGTCCCCTCGCACAGTGATGCCCTACATGGCACCGGAATTGATCACCTTGAGCGCATGGGCAATGAATTCTAAACTCTGCTTGTCACACGAAGGATCAAGCATGAACAAGCTGAAAGTATTACTTGGAGTCTTGATGGTATTCAGTGTTATAGTATACCTATGGGTTTACAGAATACTTCCACGAAAAAACAGTGAGTCAACATCTTTGAACTTTTTACCAGGCATCTGATATAATTTAACCAAGTGCGCGCARTATACAAGCCAAGAATAATATTTACATTGTAGGCACCATCACATGGCAGACGATAGTTTCGAATTACATTCTAAATTGCCGAAATAAGAACAAATCCTTTCATCTTAAGAAATATAATGTAAATCGYCTAAATACAAGCGGTCTTCGTGACCAAAAAGCTTGTTCTACTGAGATTCACTTAGCTTATCTGCTTAGGGCTTATCTTTTGCATGTAATTTCCAATGTTTATTTGCATATTTGGGGAGGTATTTCTGTATAGCGGAGGACCGCATTGTCTGAAAAATTGTAAGCAAATCCGATCCTCTCCCTTATTTATTGCCTGGAATTCCAAGTCTTYGACTTCCCTTAATGTGGTGACAGTTACTTGCAGAACATACGATATTCAACCGGATTATTATCATTTATTACACGGCAAGTTAATAACGCGAGTTGTGATTGGTTGAAATGACGGCCGTATATTCCTGTATAGACCGGGGAAGTTGAAAGCAAATTTTTTAAAGGCATTTTTTTCGGCTTAAAATGTCTGATTCACTTCTAGACTTTGCAATTAGCTCCAGTCCGAGGCGCAGCCGAGAGGTTGGTRCTATATGATACCATAGTATCAAAATTCAAAGCTTTTCACAATCATGACACGTGGATTTACTTCTATCACAAGTGAGCGTGACAATCGAAAATAATATTCGTGTTTTCGCGCTCTCAGACAGTACTTTTGACACATGTGGGCACCGCCTCCGGGAAGAAGGCTGGACATATATTAAACTGCTGTCACTAAGCATTTCCGGTAACCTCAATTTCTTCATTTTCAACGTGCCAGTGACTTTCGCGTCTGACTGGTCAATGAGAATGAGCCAAAACGAGAATGGAGAGCTGCAGTTTATAGGGTCAAATGCGCGGGCTAACTTGAGTATAAACGCTAAAAAAATTGTGCAACGCTTCTCTTTGTTACTAACCTTCTCTGGCAATTTCTCTTTCTTTCTTTTTGTCTTTCTCCCTTTCTTCCTGTTTTTCACTTTCTTTCTCTTAAATATATAAACTGATCATTGTACATCAAATAAGTTGTTGCTAACATCTTATGCAATTAATTTCTTACAGATGGTAGGCAAACTCGTGTTGCTTACACGCTGACAAAAACGACAATAAATCTTTTCGCAACACAAAACAAAGAAAAAAGATACAAGGAAAATTTGCAAAGTCAATGCGGTTCGGGATGGCAAGAGCGATATATACGATTTCACCACCAAGCAATCGCGAAGCCCTCTAAGCACGACAAGTATTTAATTTACTATTGTGGCGGGAAAAACTACGGTTGTGGTGGTTACGGCAACAGATTGAATGCCATCTCTTCGCTGCTGCTTCTTGCTGTKTTGACCGACAGAGTTTTTCTCATTGACTGGAATTACTCCATTCCTCTTCAAGACTATTTTCTTCCTGGCCAAATACGCTGGGATGTTTCCGTTAAACATGGAAGACGCAACTTTTGGGGAGCTGGCCGCCCATCTAAAGTAACYAAAAGCGTAAGGCGGCCATTTATCGAACACAGGGACCTAAAACAATTTGTCATTGACACCAACTTCGAGTTACACTTTAATCAACAAGTGGAGGTTGTCACTGCCATGTGGTACTTGTTATGTGGGTTGCAAGCAGTCAGACGCCATATTCCAGCACATGGTTTTATTAATGGGGGCACAGGGAACCCATAATTAAGTACATATAATATAACAGTACTTTGCCGAATATTTAATATACAACAAATACTTAGAAAAAAAGATTGCCAGAATGAGAATAGGAAATTGGCGTTTTTCTTGGATTGGTTGCGCATTTAACTTTCTTTTCACAAAAACACAAAGACTTCAAGAAAGACTTCGGCAAGCGCGGGAATCGCTAGGAATGGGTTCGGGCATTCCTTTTCTTGGAATTCACATACGAATGGGTGATAAATCATTTGGGAAAATTACAAAGAGGAGCGGAACAAGAACAAAGGATTACCGGAAAATAATRAAATGCGCCCTCGCGCTACGGAGTACAGTTCTTAAAAGTCACCCKGAAGTCAACTATATAAGGATATTTCTCGCGACCGATGACATCAATRTAAAGCGCGTTTTACAACAGCGATATAATAGCATTCGAGTTCTAAATGTGACCATTGAACACACTGCAATCTTTCGAGAGAAGAGAAAAATCCCATCGARAGAAGGCATGATGGGAATGCTTCTAGAACACTTTCTATTGGCTGAATCCGACTTCCTTGTATTGACTCAAAGTTCWTTTGGAGAAACCGCMGCTGGAGTCGGCCTGCATTCCAGGAAAACATACGTCTATGGGGAAAGGTGTAATATCACTTAGAGAAACAAATGCTCAGCAAAATTAACCACAATATATGCAATTGTTCCTACTAAAACCATTTTGATTCCTGGTTTCCTGGTCTGGGTGGCCTTCCTACAAGTAGACTCCTTGCATCAGTTTTTGGTCGATCATAAATTAATAAATTATTAGTAGAGGATTAACATGACCAGGCCAGAAATGGCTGCAAGGAGTCTATCCAGCAACTTGATTCCCTCCAAAAATTTTAATATTGTAAGAGTGMATCCGTATTTTTTTGTTTAACAATCAGTTTTTCCAGGTGCAAAGACAATGTCAATGTCTAGTTATTGRCACACTATGGTAGTCACAGCCTATGCTATTTTACACRAGTSTGGCCAAACTGTACCCTGTAGGRAAATATTCTTTTACCTTTACTATTTATAAAGAAAGTAAAAGATCATTCCACTCCTGAAGTATTTATATAGCAAAGGTCCCACTAATAAATTACAATGCAGAAAACGTTATGAATGGTCTTTTTCRCAGTTCCCAGCACCATCTTGAAAGGTGGCTGTGGCCTTTGCATTAAAGCAAGACAACCATTCACAGACTACAATGATAGAAACCTTCTTTCACACCAATAGACATTCATGGGTATTTATCATTGCCGTTCATCGGTTKTCTCGCTTCAATGCAAAAGCACGGCTACATTTCAAGATAGTGCAGGGGAGCTTCAACTGCTAAACTGCCCTAAAGATGCACATGTTTTTTCTTCTTCTGCSAATACAATATTACATATTGGGTAATGATTTATTAAGAAAACCACCAAAATGTGAATATCACATATAAGTAACAAATACATAAAAACAAAACAAAACATTTACATAAAGCGCCCTACAAAATGCTACTTGTCTGCAGGTATTGGCACATTCAGGCTGTTTGGGGTCCTTTGAATCAGTTCCCTGGCACGTTTTTGGGCAATAACTGACTCTTGCCGTGCATGCTCACCGGCAGCGGCAGCCTCTAAGGCGCGGTCTCGTGCTGCTGCTGCTCTCGATAACGACATATGAGACTTCTGCACTGACACAGAAGCAGCATGCTGAGCAGCCTCGCAAGATATTTGAAGTCGCTGTTTGAAYCGAGTCACAATAGATTTTACTGCACTTGGTTTTTTAACTCTYGATATGAAATTGTCATTTTCAAATTCCCCTTCCAATTTTGTGTTGTTGGGGAAGGAAGCTGCTCCTAGTCCATGCCTCATGTTTTCACACCACTGCCCAACATAGGAATATCCATCAGAAGCCTCTAAAACACCATAACCATGACGCTTGTCATTTTTCCATTCACCTTTATAAATCTCCCTGACTAATTTAACGGGTTTAGAATTATCCTCTATAGTGTCACCAGCAATACTGTTTTCTCGTTTTTTGTCACCCTTTGWTTTGACGTCTTTGGATGGCACATCGCCATTGACTTCATTACTTGCATTGGACTGTCGTGAATTTGAACGACTGAAGTTTACATAATAGTCCTTTGGTTCTCGTTTGGCACTTCGCAACCCGTATCCAGATCGCATTCCWGTTTTCCATTGTCCATAGTAGTAGCCTGTAATTCAAATAMARTAAAYTAGTAAAATATCTATGCGTTAAAGTAACTGAAGAGGTTATTCTTAAAGCTGGTTGAAACTAGTGGTAAACTAGTGTGAGCTGTYTCKGTGTTTCTAAAGAAACATTTGTGTAAAAAMTTAAAATTAAATTTAACACCATTTTAACACCRTAAAAAAGYAGGTGAATAAGTTWACTGATGTTTTGGATTTTAATCATTTATCTCTTTACTTTTAATTTATTTTAAAAYGMCCGAAATTTTTTACAGTGKTAAAATWTATCTTTTCACACAACTGTACTCTTAAAGCTACCACAGCTTCTTCTGTGGTRACTACAGAAATGRAAATATCTTGAAATCRCTRGTATTGGTCCATTTAGTTGGTTTAAGTTTGAGATAATATATTGCTGAAAATAATGTTTTTGTTAAGTTGGCTTAGGTTTGTTGCAATGGTTTATYGAGACCAACTAGAACTGCCAGACTTCACTTATTCTGTTGCATGCTTGAATGAGACTAAATCAAAATAGATGTGAAAAACTTGTCAGAAGGCGAAATTTCAAGTTCAAACATTTTAAGTTCATGCATTTTACTTGTCATTTATATGATTCYCACAATGCCAAAATGATCCCTAGATTGGCTATGATGTAAGGTCTACAAATCATTAGGAGTWATTACAGCATAAAGAGACTTGACACACTTTCATGTCCAGAGGTCACAATTTCATGCAAAGTGAAGTGCTTTTGGGACCATCAAAATTCCAATGGAACTTGATTGCTGTTTGCTTCACAAGTTTCYGTCAAATGTATCATTTGTAATCCATAAGACAACTGGGCAATATGCCCTGTCACAACTAAGATAAAAAGAGCCATAGTTCAGGTGGAAATGTGGTTATAATCACATACCATTTTKAATGGGCTAATTGCCAGTGGCACGTACCACACAGCAAGACTTGTTATTTGCGGACATACTTCTGAACTACACACGAAATACCACACTCTTATTGTCTGCTTCTAAGTAACTTGTATGAGATCTATTCATGTTATGCCACACTCCTTAATAAACCAGTAAGTTGGGACTGTGTACAGAATGTTCACCGCAAACAAGAAATCATCTAATTCCAAACAGGAACTTATAACAGAGTTTTCTCTTATGTTTTAATATAATAACTATGATGTTATGGAACTATAAATAGAGAGATCTGCTCCCCAGTAAGGAAGCCATTAAGTATATGACGTAATTCGGGTCTAGAAATTGTTCAATAGCTCAATGAAAACAATGAGTTACAGCCAAACCTACTGAAGCGTTCCTATCAAGGTTGGAAGGCTCGATTTATTATTCCAAATTTGGTTCCAAATTTATATTTAAACGTGCAAAAACAAAACCGACAATGTAAATTTCAAATCTGACGTCGATTTGAACCTCGATTCCTGATTGGATTATTCCAATAATAAAACGAAGTGCATGTTGGGTAAAGCGCGTTCACTCGTTCGCGGCAGGGCATTCCAAAAGTTGTTTCACGATGTCGACGATACAAGGATGGTTTCTGATGCTTCCAAACCTCTATGTCCTCCAGAATATCRTATGTCAAAACAACAGGCTGCTTACCGCTATTTCCTAACGGATTGAAAGAGTCATACGATAATGTTCGATGACGTTTGTTACGCACCGAAAAGTTACCCGAAGCCGTTCAGAAACTTCCGTTTTTGTGAGTCCGCCGTTAAATAATTGTATAATATGTTGTCTTTCAGCAATCGATAAAGGTTTTCCTGGGGTGTACGGCCTCTGAAGACTATTCACCGCCGCCACTTTTTTTTTGAAATATGCAACGTACTGTTTATTTTTGGAATAATCCAATCAGGAATCGAGGTTCAAATCGACGTCAGATTTGAAATTTACATTGTCGGTTTTGTTTTTGCACGTTTAAATATAAATTTGGAACCAAATTTGGAATAATAAATCGAGCCTTCCAACCTCGATAGGAACGCTTCAGTAGGTTTGGCTGTAATACTGTTCCTCCGAAATAAAAAGTCAGGTTGGATGTAGTCATCATAAAGTCAAAGCCATGTAAACTACAATTGTAGCTGCCTTGACAGATTCATCATAAAGTGTAAAAAAATGCTATGTGGAGGTCTATGTTACTTCTGTGGCTTAGATTTTATTTATAAATAAATAAATAAAGTAAAACTTCAGTGAGTGCTTCCATAATGACTATTTAAGCCCAAAAGAATGTTCAAGAATAATCTATTTATCTCGTAAATTAAATTTAAAACTTAACTGTTCATATATCATGAACTTCATAAGAAAATTTACTCATTCAAGGTTGTAAGTGATGGCTACTGATTTCATAATGTTCATTTAGCTACTGCAAAATCCAATACTGCTACAATTCTCACAGCTAAACCAAGCGTTACAAGTCAATTAGCAAACATAATGCTTTTCGACTGGCATTTGTGAAGTTATTCTTGAGACACAACAACAGAAAATGCACTCAACTGTGTCGTTTAATCGATCTAGTGTTCGATGGAAAATGCCTATTATCGACGATACGAACGTATGAGATTGCCAAGCAGTATCTTGATYGCCTTTATTACAAAATAACACTCACCACCATCAGCATACACTTCGATTCCGTATCCTTCTTGGAGGCCAGACGTCCAACTACCTTCRTATCTTGCACCACTTTGCGCTCTCTGTACGCCATATCTGGCTTTAAAACCATCTTCCCATTCGCCCTGATACGTCCATTTTCCTCGTATTTCACAACCTAGTCCGTGCCGTCGTCCGTTTGCCCACTCGCCCTCGTATTTGTGGCCATTTGGCCAAACATACACACCGCTTATTTCAAACCCGTTGTGCCAAGCGCCCTCGAATCTTGCTTGTCCTTTTGGACCGGTGCAAATTCCGTAACCTTGCGCTTTCCCATTTCTCCATTCGCCACAATATGTCCCACCATCGTCAAAATCAAATCGGCCGCCGCTCATTATTAATTTTGCTGTGCATAGCTTCTTGCGAAATGTTGTTTTTGAGCTCAGACTTTACACACGTTCCAACGAAATCAACACAATCGGTGTTTCTGATCGCGAAGTGYTATTACGCATGCGCTTCGCCCATATCTCTTCTTTGGCGTTTGACCTATATATTTTATGCCACAAAATTCTTGCTTTTAAACTTTCTGGTCATTTAGAAGAACATTGCTTGCGCTATGCTCGAATTCAATCCGCTTTAGCAATTCGACAAACAGCAATGTACAATATTGTGATTTCTGAATCCTTGCGGAATGCGTGACGTGACTGTCAGTGTCCTCTGTTGCGCGGAATCAGTATATAGTAAGTTTATTCAGGCTGGAAATGGTCTTGTTAGARGTTGTGGCGCTTGCATGACAAGAAAAATACGCTATATTTTTAAAGTACACTGAAKTAAACGCAGTGATGATAACAGATGTCAACAAGATTGCGTGACAAGCGATAGCGTGACTTTTTCTAAGATTTCACGTCGATACTTTTGAGAACAGTTTCTCGCTGATRAAAATTTGATGASCACGTTTTGTGGTTTTTGGCAGATAAGAGTGACTCAAATTTTAATCAATTTACTATCAAAACACCTTAAAAAAATAAAAAAAAAACAGTAAATTCATCTAAAACAGGAATAAACATTATAAAAATGCRTTTAAAATCTCACAATTTTTTAATAAATCTAGAATATTCAATATTAATATCAAAATCCGAAAAGATTAGAACATTGTCATGTGACTTTTTTATCAAAACCGAGAAGGTCCTGGAAACTACAATAATTAATACCCACAATCCTTCATTAGTTTACTCGTCGGCCGCCATCTTGTCCACACGTGTTGACATTGACAGGAAAGACAGGAGAGAAAATCAACTATGGCWGCGGATACCGGCGTAGATATCGACTTATATGCAGAGGAAATAGAACATGATATTAGTGTCCAGGTGAGTTTGGTGTAATCTGCATTTTTATGAGGAGAAAATCTGATCTTTTTTCGTGTCGTGTTCGAAGCATGATGGCGGCGCAGTGGACCTGTACGACGATGTCTTGACCACATCAGCAGCTGAACGACAAGCTGAAGACGAAGCTCTTCAGGGAATAGTTAGCGTGAGTGTGTGTTTGGATGATATGATCTCTTGTGATGATTATTGTTTTATACCTAAAACGTTTTTACTTTCCAAATTAATCTTTCACAACTTTAAAGCTTAATAAGAATAAATTAATATGATTAACTATTAAGTTACTTTATTTTGAAGTATCATCTGAAGCTAGTTAAATAAATTGTTGCTTTATTTTCAGTATTCTGGAGATCTTGCAGTGCCAGCAGAACAACCAGGTATGCATAAAAAATGCAGTACTTTGATAAAAAGTGATTTTCAAAATGCCTGATTTATAAATTCAATAAATTTATAGTAAAATCATCAATGCGTTGCAAGCACACAGAGAGGCATTATGACTGTTATTGCATCTTGTGCCTCTAAGTTAAGTGTGGTTCCGATGCAATATCGATGCAATTACTCAAATGCTCAGAKAAAGACTCGGAATGCATTGCATATTGGGATACATTCTGATCGCCATGGGAACCAGGCTTTAGCTTATTTATCAACTGAATTGCACAAGCAATTCATCAATCACTGATTGTCTAAGCTGCTTTCTGTCAATATCCAACCTCCCTATTATTAATTCTCTTTTTTATTTTCTACATTAGTTGGTTATGAGTACAAGTCTTATACCACAATACACCCAAAGTCTGCAGCATCGCAGGCTGCWCARAGTCATTATGAACGCCAGCGTGGCAAACCACTTTATGTTGGAAATTTAACATGGGTGAGTTTTGGATTAATAGCAGTGTTATCTTCAGGGTTCTMATTAGAAAACAAAATTCAGACAGCTAGGCYGGGTTATTCAAAGCCTGAYTAGTGTTAATCCAGGSTTAACTCAATAGGTTTTCTAAGARTTAACTCAGGATWAGYGCTAATTTGATTTTGAACAACCTGGCCCTKGTCTAGTAAAGRTAGCTTGAGGTTTTGCAGCCACAAAAAACTGCAATAATAATTTCATCCAGTAACCAATGAATATCTAAGCAATAACTGATGATTTTTTGCACTTGATATTTAGAACCCTGTATTCTTACACAAATTTAGTGTAGTTGCTGTAATTTAAGTTGTTCTTTGGTTATATTTACCTAATATCTTAGTCACTTGTTCAGTCGATTTACATCCCACTCAATCAGTAGACCCCTTGTAGTTCACGGGAATGTTCTGTAGCTCCAACTGGAGGGCTAAACAAGGGATTCTAGTTCCCAAGAGAGCAAAAATATTTTGTTTTGTCCTCGAGATGGAGCTGCTTTGATATCAAAAGCAAGGGGTATACAAGCATACACAAGCTAACTCTGATCGCATTCACTTGTTTATAAACAATAAATTGTGCACCATAAAATGATGAAAAACTTACTGATATTTCGGACTTTGTTACTCTATTGAGTAAAGACGTTTCAGTAAAGAAACAAGATCACAATTAAATAATAATTTATAAAATGGTAAATGGCAGTGGACCACTGATCAAGAGCTGACAGAAGCCCTTCAAGAGTGCGGCGTCACTGACTTGGTTAACATCAAGTTTTTTGAGAATAGAAACAATGGACAATCAAAGGGGTGAGTGATGTGATAATGTCTAAGATCAAACTCTTATTAACTTAGTCTTTTTAGTATGGTATGGTAAGAAAGTGTTCTTTGAAATGGTGTTGTATAATTATATGACTTGGTTCAGTTTGTATTTTTACTGATATACTATTAACATATCACAGAATACCTGCAGCCTTCTGAGCTGGAAAATGGATTCTAAAGACAAAGATCCCCTTTTTTTTCCTTCTTGTTTTGTATAGACCCCAAACTTTTGTAAAAATCCTTTGTAAACTAGGGAAGGAATTACCAAAAATAGTAACTTTTTCTTTTTGAGTCACACTTYTGTAAAAAGTCTGTGTAAATTAGGGAGATATTCTATTTAAAATCAAACTTTTGTGTTGCTTTGCTTTCGTCCAAACTTTTGTAAAAGAACACTWTGTAAATAAGTAGGAAATAATTTATTATGAAAATTCACCATTTTTTTGATCGGACACTTTGTTAAATGTTTTGTAAATATGGGCTTCGGTTATTACAGTAGAGGGAAAGGGTTTATTTATTTATTTTACTTTCTTACCATCTGTAAAATATGAAATATTATTTCGAGCTATCAAATGTTTTTCAGTTTGTATAAAATTAAATTTATTGTGAATGTGAATTCATGTTTTGGGAGGGTGGAAAATAATTATTTTGTAAACCATAATTGTACATTTAATATTGTACATATTAAAAAGAGTTATTCTAAATTGAAGTAAYGAAGAAATGTGAGCACATTTGTGTGATTAAAACATGTAATTTAAGTAGAGAATTATAGAATAAATGACTGTATAGAAAATTTGGAATAAATTATAAGTTTACAACAATTTCAATTAATATTGATCATTCTGAGATATTTGATCTAAGACCRGTAGGATTGGTGGTAGTCCATTGAATTGCAAAATGTTCAATAATTTTGAGCAGTTTTATTCAATTTTTGAAAACAGTTGTGGACTTTCTGAAAAGGACAAATTGTTTGTGCAGTGTTGTTTTACTAAACCCCTATCTATGTTTACTGAAGTAGTGCAGGAACTTAAACAGCAATGAGGCGGACTTTAAAAGCAGTACGTTTGCAATTCAATCAACTAAAATGATCCTTCGAATCTCATATCAACTTTCTCCTAATGRCAACATTAATTGATGAAGAGCGTCTATAACATGTATAAGTGTTAAACTATGAAACCATATTTCACTCATGTAATTTAACTTTAATATAAAATCAGAAGTTCTATGTAAAGATCTTTAAAAATGTTATACATAACTGGTATTAAATGCTATTGTTATTAATAATATGCACTGTTTATGTGGATTTCTAATGGCACATATAAAATTAATTCCTATCTTTTGCCTCTTTCTTTCTTTTGATCTTTGTTCCTTAGCTTCTTTTTCTGCACTTTATATCCTAATTGTTTATCTTTCTTTCTTTCAATTCCTTTCTTTCATTTGTTCTTTCTTTCTTTTCCTTTCACTGTACTACTCACCCTCTTTGTCTCCTTGTATGTATAAAACATGCTGTGTTTGACTGTTAAACACTAATGTAATAAAATAGACAGCGCTAGTTAGTTTTGATGATCATCATTCTGCTACATCAAGGTATGGTGCCTGTCTTATAAATCAAAGTACAGTAGCTAAGACAGTGACCCATCTATGATGCAGAGCATGTCTTAATATTTGGGTTGCATGTTTCAGGTTTGCTTTGATAGAACTTGGTTCGGATAAATCTGTCCAACTTGTTACTGAACACTTACCTAAAATGTGAGTAATATATTGAGTTATTTTCTTCAGAATAATAGAAAAYAAATGGCCTTTTGCATTTAACAGTAACATGGTTCTAAGTCCACCATACTGGGCCAGGTTGTTCAAAGCCCGAATAGAGTTAATCCAGGGTTTTCTAAGAGTTAACCCAGKATTAGCGCTAATCAGGCTTTGAACAACCCAGCCCTGGAKGGCAAAAGAATGTAAACAACCTCAAAAACAAAAGGAACAATAACTTGACTTTTCTGTTTTGCCATATTGTATGGCAGATTTAGTACCATGTTACCGTTAAATGCAAAAAGCCTATTCACACAACWTATAGCTTCACAACTCTGTTGAATAAGGTTGCTTTTTGTTTATCAATKTCAAGTACTTTTTCAATTATCACAGGAAATACTTTAATGATTAACTAATCAATGACTTTTTATGTCAATTAACCAGCGAACTTCACGAACAGAAAATATTAGTCACTCCAGCAACAAAACAACATCTTCATGARTTTGAAGCACAATCACGAGCGAAAAGTAAGTCAGCAAAGTTTGCTTATTCTCAGTAAAAGCAAACTGATTTTGATTTGACTTTATGTTTTCCAATAACCAGGCATTGGCTCAATAGATCTCTTAACCTTTTATGCCACTACTTGATTTTCATTGCATTGTGGGATAAGTTTCTTGAGAAAACTGTGATGTTCTTTCCCACATAATCCTACAATGCATTGCATATACCATATATGACRTAAATTCTGTAAAGATGTCTATTGGTGTCTTATTTTTGTTAATTTTTGTCTAAAAGCTGGCAATAGCTACCAGGGACAGCAGTACGATGGCCAACAAGGATATGGAGGCGATAGGGGAAGAGGTTACTATGGTTACAGAGGAGGTTACAGAGGGCGTGGTGGGATGCGACCTGGAATGGGCAGAGGTTTTGAGGGTGATGGACCAAGAGGACCGTGGATGGGTSAGTGATGATACACATATAAAGCAAAAATATTAATGATTAGTAATAATTATATTTTTGATTTATTAATTTTAAGACATAGAGTAGGAATGTGTCCATAAAACACTGATGAAAAAACACCTTTGGAAAATAGTCTACTTTCAATTTTCTGGTTGGGTGGTCATGCACAAAAGACTTGATGAATTGGCTCCATCGAGCCTTTAAAAAAAACCAGTTTAGTTCCATTGTTTTGTTTTTCTTTATATTTAAATTTTCATTTCTATCATACTTTCTTTCCTATTTGCCATTATCTTAACTAGTTGAACCTCAGTAGTAAAAAAAATGAAAAAAAAAGGTTTGTTCACCTTGGTTTTTATGSCCGTTGTTAGGTGCTCCAGGAATGGGCCCAAGACCACCAATGCTGCCACCATTTGGAGATCAGCCACCACCACCATTTGGAATGAACCCYAATCATTTTCCAGCACAAGGAATGGACAAACCACCTGGTCCTATGCCTCCACAGATGAGCATGGTAAGMGCTGGTCATATACTTCCCCTATGCCTCGTGTTTAATATTGTCAGGGGCTTGTCAAGAGATCCCTTGACAGTGATATGAATTCAACTTCATCTCTGAAAAACAATTAAACAATGGATTCTAGATCCATGGAGAGCAAAGATCTTTTGTTTATTCCACTGGATGAAGCTGCCTTGACGTCACAGTATAAAGTGTTATGTCACATTACATTTGGCTGAGCTCGTTTGATACTTGGCACTTTTTGACACTGGTTTACTGGCTCAACTTAGAGAAGATTCTGATATTGAAGAAGCAATTGATAACTATGTAAATCCCTCACTATGACAAAGTCAATGATCTTTGTATTAGAAATTTGAATGAATGCAGTCAGATTGCTAAGCTTTTCCTGTGACATCAGAATGCAGCTTAAAAACGTATTGCATACTGAAAGAAGTGATTGTTTGCTGACGTAATTGCTTTTATGTTTGCAGCCACCTGGTATGCCAGGAATTCCTGCTGATCCCTACTTTGCAAGGATGGGTGAGTTTCTGGTTGATTTAAAACACAAACATTGAAACAGCTAATTTCAGTTATGTATAAACTTTGTTGGACTACTTATTGAATAGGCCTTTTGCATTTAATGGTAACATGGTACTAAATCCGCCATGCTGGAGGTCAAAGTTCCCACTGGGATGTTCAAAACAAAGAGAAGTCAAGCTTGACACGTTGCATTCCTTTTGTTTTTGAGGTTGTTTACATTCTTTTGCCATCCAGGATGGTGGATTTAGCAGATTTAGTAACTGTTACATGAATGACCTTGAGATTTCTGTTTGAGTTTTTGTTCTTATCAGTTCATTTACATGTTTACTTTTATTTCCAGTAACAAAATGTCTGTATCTTGTTTTTAGGTGGAATGGGTCCAATGTCCAGGCCACCTGTTGCGCCTCATGTAAACCCAGCTTTYTTCACYGARGGACCYCCRGTAAGTACAARAGTTGATTGTATGGAACACTTGARAAATCAGCAAGAGAAATAAACGAATATTTTCACTGTTTTCTTGATCAATTTCAGCCGGATTTCACTGCCATGGCAACYAGAGCYGACCCTCAGTATCCAGGTAAACAAACAATAGAATTAATGCACTTATGAATAAGCAATAATATTGATAAGATAAATAAGCAAACATGATTAATTCACAAGACTTGTAATAAAACTAGGGCAAGTTRAACAAAGGGCAATTACAAAACTTTCAAAAATTTCACTGATATGTCTTCATCCTATATTTCAATATAACAGATATAATCTATAACTATTTCCTCTTCATTTCAAAGCCTAGTTGTTATATATCCTTTATCTTGAAAAGCACACACAACAAACATCTTGATTGGTTATTTCTTCATCAATCACAGTGGACGAATACAGTGAAAGTATGAAGAGAAACAGTGCWGTTGCTAGTAGYGCCATCAAGAAGGCCATGGCTGATGCTAATTCTGGTGATAATGAGAGTGGTATAGAGACTTTAGTGACTGCAGTATCATTGATCAAACAGTCTCCATCAGCCAACGACGAAACCTGTCAGGTATGCAAACATTAATTTTATTGTGACTCATTTTGTGGTGTGCTGCGTTTTTTGGTACAATATTTTTGTAATAAAAAAAGCTGTGCATTTTTTTACACAGATTTTAGTTCAAAACTTACAAAGTTGTCTTCAAGGATTGGAATCAAAGATGCTGGAAAGAAGGTAAATGAAGAAAATCAATCAATCAATCATTCAATGTAAACTGTCAATCATACAACCAAGCAGTCACTCAATATATCAATCAATCAATCAATCATCATCTTAAACTGCAATCAATGAGCATCTTATATGTAAACAAATAAAACTCTTGAAGCCGGATTTTTTGTTGATCAATTGATCAGAAGAATCTTGAAACCACTTCATTTTCTCTCCACTACTTACAATCAAATAACACATTTTAATCAAAACAGTACATTTGTGTGGAGGCATGTCGTTTAGCGTGTCAGATGATTAATCAATGAAATATCTGTATGCATTTTTAAGAATCTAAAATGCAGTTTACTCTCTTTGAACAACCACTCTTGTAAGCGACGATCTTTTAAATTTCCCTTTCTAATCGTTTCCCATATAAACTCTGTAAAAAAGACTCTCGTAAGCGACCATCTCTCATAAGCGACCACTTTTTCCTGATCCCAAGGTGGTCGCTTACGAGAGAGTTGACTGTAATCATCATTGTTATTAATGGTTGTATCTTTCTTTTCAGCATGAGAAGCAAAGACCGCTACGAGGACAAAGACGAATACACAGGTAGTGACAGAGATAGTTCGTCAAGAAGACATCGACGACGACGTTCAAGATCCTCAGAGAAAAGATCTCGTTCCCGTGACAGGCGTTCAAGRTCACGCGATCGTGACAGGCATAGAAGCAGAAGGTGGGTATGGTAGTGTTAGGTTTTAGAATGCAAAATTATTGGACCAACATGAAGACAGGATTATAGCTAGTAAAATTGATTTGGCAGCAAGATTTAAACTACCACTATTAAAGCTAACCTTTTCCATAAAGGGAGAAACAAAATTAGGTTTATTTAAGTATGAAAAATAGTAAAATACTACAATTCTATTTCATCAGGTAAGGGAGAACTCCACAAGGGTGAATATCATGGACTCCAAGGACAGCGATTCAGTTTCAGTCAATTTTTTTTCTCATAATTTCTCAGCYTGTTATMTTTTGTGATTATTTTTGTCTGTAATATATTATAATGAACCATTATGGAGTGTTGTGGCAGCTTTTTAGGATTTGAACATCAGGGCTTAACTTAATTGTTCTTTGGACTGGTCAGCATCAAGTAATATTGAATGTAGCCATTTTGAAACATTGCTTGCAAATGTTTCAGATAAAATGATAAGTTATGTATCATAAATGATAAATGATGTAAAAAGAAACATAGATGGGTCATTTTGGTGGTTGGAAAGGAAAGTGGAAAGAAAGGCCAGGCAGGCAAAGTGTTTCAAAATTTCCCTTAATACTCTGGTAGCTAAAACATAACATTAAACTATTTAGAAATGGCTGCACAATACAAAGACAAGTGTGTTGGTAACATCAACATTAATTTAAGTACTATATACTAAGAAAAGGCAAAAGCTGTTCCCACGAGTGTTTAGCAGAACGAAACAAATGCATGTATTTATACATTTTCAAATAAAATCATTAGTGAGTTTCATTCTCCTGCTTCGTGTGAATTTATTGATTATTAATGAATATTATTCAATTGATTTATGGCACATGCACATTCGATAATTTGTGGACAAAGCAGACACTGTATTCTTGTACAAAACAAACAAACAACAACAGCCAGAGAATGACTCTTTGGGCGCTTGCAATTTCTACACATTTATTTACAAACGTTTTGACCTTTAACATGACTTGCTACTTCTAACATACAAATTCAAGATCTTTTTGTATCATTCTTGTAGCCATAATTAAGCACAATTCAACTTGACTCATCATATTTACGTAGCTTAAATCAGTGGTTATAACCAACTGAACAATAAGTCCAAATCATCACGTTTCTTCATATTTATAACCTCCCAAACAGAGCCATTTTCATAGTCAAATGAAAGCAAACCCCTAAAATTGCCCATTGTACAACAATTCCAGTACCCTAATTATTGAAAGCTAACTACAGCACCAATTAATGACAATTAGTT